TCAAGGGTTGCTCGAAAGCTATGGAGAAAATTCTCTCAAATATTTTATGATAAAAGTGTCTACCCTTTAATGATGCAATATGGTGCCTTATATAGGCTACAAGTCAAAAACCTAATCTAGTAAGAAAATGGACTAAGGGTGCAGTGGATATGGGCCCTAATAAGGGAGGCTTAACCCCCGACGGTTGGGCCTCACGTGGGCTTTCCTTCCTAGGCAGCCCAGTCTAGCAAATAATAATGAGTAAATTAACAATCCTACCCTTGGAAATTCTACGTGCAATATGTACTTAGCCAATTATTCAATCTAATCAACTAATGTGGAAATAACTAACTATGATGCTAAAACGGAAATTAGGGTTTGGCAAAAACCCTAATCCTCAAGTGTAGCTTCAATGCTCATTATCGGACCGCGACCACCTTCACTTGAGTGTATGAATCCTTCAAAATACTTGTGTATGGCCTGAATAAGTACATTGAGTTGCTCACGAAGTTTCTTTGCGCGAGCCCTAGTAATGGGTCCACTTGGGGTATGCACGTGATCCTTAGCTCCTCGATTACTCGAGCCATTGTTGGCCTGCCCACGTACCATGATGCTATTATTCCCCTCCTCTTGAGAAAGATTTGCCCTCAAATCAAACGCATCATCTGCATCAAAAGGAGCTAAGTCAGAGACATTAAATGTAGCACTAACTCCATACTCACCAGGAAGGTCAAGTTTGTAGGCGTTGTCATTGATGCGCTCCAACACCTGAAACGGTCCATCACCATGTGGGTGTAATTTATTTCTCCTTTGAACAGGGAATCGTTCCTTGCTCATGTGCAACCACACCCAATCCCCGGGTTCGAAAATCAGCTTTTGGCGTCCTTTGTTGGCTTGCTTCACATATTGAGCAGTTCTCCTCTCAATGTTGGCCCTGACTTTCTCATGCAGTTGCTTAACAAACTCTGCACGTTTCTTACCATCCAAATGCGCACGCTCATTATTAGGTAATGGCACTAGATCAAGTGGTGTTTGCGGATTAAAACCATAAACACACTCGAATGGAGAGATGTGAGAACCCTGAAAATATATATATACAAATATCATTCCGTATTTCATTTGCATATTTAATTCATTAGTAATTTTAGAATTACTTTCACTTGTTCGCAGATAAGTACTTAAAAACACTTTTCATGTGTGAACTAATATAATTTTTCTAAGTTATGAAATTTCTTGGTTTTGCTTAAATATATTAATACATTTGGAATTAGAATGATTCTATCGCCTTAACATAAAACGTTAGAACACTTAGTCTCTATTACGCTAAATCAATGTTACTTGAGCCGATTAATCTTACTACCTTAAAATAAATTATTTAAAGTCCAATAATTAATTCTAATTAGTGAATAACGTCAAAACTATAAAGCCGACAAATTTTAGATAAGAATAATACAAGTATACTAATTACGCGTGGGACGTAAATATTTCGATAATTGAAGCCTTGCAAGATTAGTACATCATTAGGAATTTAATTTACGTTCGGAATAATTTTTGGAGTTAAATGGGAATTGGGGTCTTAAGTGGTCATTAGTAGGACAATATGAAATGTCTAAACTACCCTCCCAATCTCACCAAAACCACCATGCAAACCCAACAAATTCCGGACAACCTGATTTTCTCACCTCCCTATTCGTCCAATCCCATATTCACCAACTCTACACTAAAGCTCATTCCTACACTCCAACTTCCTTAACCTCGCACCACTCCACCCTCTTCATAGCTTCATTCCCTTCTCTTCACATCACCACAACCCTTCACCTCGTAAACATCGACCGGAAGTGAGAGAGAGAGAGAGAGCTCCATTCCCTTCCTGATCAGAAGCTGGAACAAGGAAGGAATCGCGAGCTGCAACCATTCTGTTTCTTTCTGTGAGCTAAAGGGGAGAAAGGAGAGGGACACTACGTGAGCTTCATTCCTGACTGCACCCTTAACCAGCTGCAAACCATTCTCTAACCGCCACACCATCGCAACTGCAACATCACCAGGACAACTATTCAGCCGCAAGCAGGCCGAGAGGAAGAGAGATAGAATTTCTGTTCGATCACGCGTACAAGCTTTCAGCAGAGGTAGATTCTGATTTTAGAGTAGCTTATTAGAGGTAGATGGTAGTGTTTAAGAACTTGCATGTGGGATTTGTGCATTCGAATGATAAAATTTAAACATGACAAATCTGATTTTTGGGAGAAGATGATGTTGCCGAGAAACAGAGATGGAGATGCAGATTTAATTTTGTTTCCCCGTGACAATCTGGGCTTAACTATGTGATTAAACAACCAAAAACAAGAGGTTTAAGCTAGATATAGCCGTGCAGGTTGAGTTTGGACAGCCGGATGAGTGGGGTAGGAAAGAAAATCTGATATGCGTAAGAATTTGTTTCTGCCGAGAACTTGAGCTGGAAATTTTGGTTTTAATTTGCTGGGTGTGATGATTTGAGCTTAATCTTGGATCAACCTGATAGATAAGCTCCTTACTTAGTGTTGCATGTGAACTTTATGGCTAGGAATTTCGGTTGCATGGCTGGAAAACTTAATAGAAAATTTCTGGACTGCTGAACTAATTTTTCCAGATTAGCCGTTGAAGATGTTTTGGAAATTGCATGGGTATTTTAGCATGAAATTTGCTGGAAAGTGGTTGATTTTCACTTGGTTAGGTGTTTGACTAATTAAAATTAAATGATTAAGCCTTGCATGTTAACTCTGTGCAGCTGGATGATGAACTAAGGAGCTTAGGAAAATTCTGTTTTTATGAATTGTTGCAGCCGAGAGCTTGTCCTGTATCTTACAGCTTCATTTGATTCAATTTTGTTGTTTTGAGTTTGTAACCATGATTAACTGGTTAATAACATGATAATTGAGCTTCGCACGTAGCAAATTAATGGGTCTAAATCAGAAAAATAAAATGAACTAGAAATCTGCTACACGTATGATCGGCTGAGGTCAAGCTAAACAGAATTTCTGGATTCGTTTTAGATGGGTATAATTGTTGTTTGAATCTGGATTTGATATGGAAATCTTCACTAGCTAGCTACGTGTTTGCATGTCCTAATGGAGTACCTAAAAGCCTGTTTTAACCGAGAAAATAAAGTGAAAATAGAAAGTTTCTTCATGCATGATTCATCCGTAGCTTGCTGGACAGATTTCTGGAATTTTTGGGATGCTTAAACCTGTTATTCGAATTCGATTTTGAACCAGAAATGCTAATTAGTTAGCCAAAGGTTCACGTGATGAATTTGAGAATCTAAAAAGCATGTCTTAGCCAAGGAAATTTTGAATTTATAAACAACGAAGTGCTGGAAATTTTAATGACCGAAAGGTTGAACTGAATTCTTTTTAAGTGGTTCCTGGAATTTTTCCTTGGGGTATTATGAGCTCGAAATGCATGACAAAATGTACACGTTAAGCTGTGAAAGCTGTTTAGCAATGAAACATTTGATATCTCGAAAGATTTAACCAAAAATGTGGGTATACAAATGCTGGAAATTTTCCTTGTGGTTGCCAAAGTTTGAGTTAGAATTTCCAGCTTGATTGTGAAATTTTCTTTGAAAACATAATGGTTGAAAATGCCTGGAAAATGTGGTGTTAGAATTCCATAAGAGATATATGGATGGTTTGAATAAAAGTCTTATGGTTTTTAAAAGAGAAAAAGGAGCTTTTCGCAAGTGAACAAGAGTTTCCAGATTTTCGGATTTCACTGACCAGTCTAGGCAAAATGCATATATCTTGGTGTAGGAAAATCCGATTGAGGTGCCGTCAGTGGCATCTAAAACTAGATTCATGGGCCTTTGTTTTGTAGAAATTTCATATTTTTTTCTCCATGCGTACTGCTGTTCGTGACTCCTCAAAGTAGGCTGTCCTGCTGAAATGTCCTGTCCTTCATGAAATTGAAACCTTGACTTGGATCAAACAATTAGCTTGTTTGTGAATTGAATTCCTGATTTAAATTGTGGTTGGATGTGATTGAGGATTGTCAAAGGCAATGATTGATGGAGCCTTAGCCATTTGAATAATTTTATATAAGTGTTTAAGTGTGGTGAAATTGAACTGCTGGACTTGTTTGGAGCTAATATGTTTATTTCGATGTGATATGAACTTGCCAAACACCAAGTGCTAATGATTGACGAAGCCTTGGTTATATATTTTTGTTCAAATGAAATTGACTTTGTTGAAATCTAGGGCTAATGATTGAAGAAGCCCTAGTGACTTGCTTTTGAGATGTGATCTTGATTTGCGGGAAAATTTAAGTTGTAACGTGAATTTGATATGGGATCGAACTTGTGAAATTTCGTGTCAACCCCACAAATCCGTGAATGTTTAAGCAACTATCTAGATATTTTGCGCTTAGCCTTAATTGATAAAACCTAGTATTGTATGTTAAAGTTAGAAATTTCGTGTAGGGATTTTCTAAACCTTGCCAACTCGATATCTCTCTTTTAAGCGTAAACTAGCCTTATTACTTTTAGAAAATGATTTCACTAGTTTTAAAACCCTAAGTCTTGATCTATTTCCTTTTCTTTCCTTAAAATTGTCCCTGGCTAATTGTCTAGAGGAAAATTTCCAAAATACAAGATTTTAGTGGCTTTAACTAAAAATAGCTGAAAACTTCCTCGGCTAAACTTATTCTAAATAAAATAGTACTAGCCGCACTCGTATAGAGAAAAATATTTTTAAGGAAAGCCATATAAAACATTTCCTACTTTTACTAAATTTCAATCCTAAGTGGATGGTCGAATTGTTTCAAGAAAATAATACTAGTTACCCTTTTCTAAGGAAAAATATCTCAAGGAAAACTATAAGAAACATTTCTACTACTTTTGTCAAGCTTCAACCTAAGTAGATTCTTGAATTTACTATGGGAAAGAAAACTAGTAATATATTAGATAAACCTCGATGTGTATAAGCTTGAAATCTGAATAGAAACTTATAGTTTCAAAATTTGGTATTCTAGGGTATGGCGAGGACGCAGAATTCGATTCCCAACTTGATATCTGAACTCCACTCTTGGTGAGTGTCCCTGCCTGTTCTATGCTTACTTGATTAAAGTGCTTTCTTGATTTGATATGTGATAATTGGAAAAATGGTTTTCTGATCCATCGAAGTGGGCAGTGTGTACTTTATCGCACTAGCTCTTTCGAGTGGTGACTTGCTTGAAATATTTTTGTGAATATCCTGCTTGCACTATCTACATGCTGGACGCCACGTCGCTGGGTGAATCCCTCGACTAGTCTATACTAACCTCATGCTGGACGCCACGTCGCTGGGTGAATCCCTCGACTAGTCTATAATAACCTCATGCTGGACGCCACGTCGCTGGGTGAATCCCTCGACTAGTCTATAATAACCTCATGCTGGACGCCACGTCGCTGGGTGAATCCCTCGACTAGTCTATACTAACCTCATGCTGGACGCCACGTCGTTGGGTGAATCCCTCGACTAGTCTATATATATAAAAAAAAAATAATGAATCTACATGGACTTTAGATGGTGAAAGTTGATGGAGGGTCAACTGCGGGTAATTTTGATCAAGCGCAAGGAAAATGGCTCCTGAGAGCCCCTGTATCCTACCCTGTGCTGTTATACGCTTTCCTACTTGTGAATATAAGTTTGAAGCTATTATTTGCTATTCGTTTATATGATTGCATGTCCGGGCACCACTGAGCTTTAGCTCACTCCACGTTTATTTGTTTTCCTTACAGGATGGGAAGTTTGAAAGCATTTGAGCAGCTTATATTTCCTATGAATGTACTTGAACAACTTGAATTTAAATTTCGGTTTGTAATGAATTCTACGTTAAGCACTGTACCTTTTATTTTTGGTTGCCACTTGAAGCTGGAAAAGTGTAACCCTAAGTCTGGTATCCGGCTTGTATGTACGTATTTGTGTGGTATGGCTTTAATCCTTGTAAGTAACGCACGAAGTGTTTAAGAGCCCTCGATTGGCTATCTTATAAATGTTGTTATCTTTGAAGTTAAATGAGGATTTAGTTTATTCTTCGGAAGGATTTGGGCTAGATTGCTTGTGTGAGTCCTGGCGAGAGCTAGTCAGACGGCCCGCCAACCCTCTGGTTCGCCTTAGGGGAAAGTGGGGTCGTCACAAGAGAAGCCAGTAGTAGAATGGATAGCCCTATTATAAGCAAACTCAACATGAGGTAAACACTCTTCCCAAGATTTCAAGTTCTTTTTGATGATGGCACGCAACAAGGTACCTAATGTACGATTTACCACCTCGGTTTGACCATCAGTTTGGGGGTGGCTAGCAGTAGAGAATAGCAATTTGGTGCCTAACTTAGACCAGAGTGTCTTCCAAAAATAGCTCAGGAATTTAACATCTCTATCAGATACAATGGTCCTAGGAATGCCATGCAATCTCACAATCTCTTTAAAGAACAAATTAGTAATATGAGATGCATCATCCGTTTTATGACAAGCAATGAAGTGTGCCATTTTAGAGAATCTATCAACAACCACATAAATGGAGTCATGGCCATACTTGGATCCAGGCAAACCAAGTATAAAATCCATAGAAATGTCAACCCATGGTGCACTAGAAATAGGTAACGGGGTGTAAAGGCCATACGGGTGTACCTTGGATTTAGCTTTCTTACAAGCTAAGCATCGCTCTACCACTCGTGCAATATCTCTCCTCATGTGCGGCCAATAGAAGTGCTCCTGCAGCATGGCAAGAGTCTTATCAATCCCAAAATGTCCCATAAGGCCACCCGAATGGGATTCTCGTATCAAAAGTTCGCGGATGGATCCATGTGGGATGCAAAGCCGATTGGCATAAAACAAGTAACCATCGGAAATGAAGAATTTACCTTGCCCAGTGTGTTTGCAAGAAAGGTAAAGTTCACCGAAATCACTATCTTGTGCATAGATGTCTTTAATAAGCTCAAACCCTAACAACTTAGCATCTAAGGAAGTGAGTAGAGAGTACCTTCGTGAGAGTGCATCCGCAACTACATTAGACTTACCAGCCTTGTATTTAATCACGTATGGAAAGGACTCCACGAATGCGATCCACCTTGCATGCTTTTTGCTCAAGGTATGCTGAGCCTTAAGGTATTTAAGGGACTCATGATCAGTGTGTATCACGAATTCCTTAGGCCTTAAGTAGTGTTGCCAAACTTGTAGTGCTCAAATGAGGGCGTACAACTCTTTATCATAAGTTGAGTAGTTCAGTGCAGCCCCATTGAGTTTCTTACTAAAGTAGGCAACAGGTCTTCCTCCTTGGTTCAACACAGCTCCAACTCCAATACCTAAAGCATCACAATCAATTTCAAATGTCTTAGAAAAGTCAAGTAAAGCAAGTACAGGTGCATGTGTGAGTTTGTGCTTTAAAGCGCGAAAGGCTTGTTCTTGAGAATCTCCCCAATGGAAGTTCTCATTCTTCTTGATCAACTCGGTCAAGGGTGCAGCAATAGTGCTAAAGTCCCTCACGAATCTCCTATAAAAACCCGCAAGGCCATGGAAGCTTCGAACGTCACCCACAGACCTTGGTGTTGGCCACTCTTGAATAGCTTTCACCTTTTGATCATCCACCTTTATTCCCTGCGCACTTATAACAAACCCTAGGAACACAAGCTCGTTAGTGCAAAAATTGCACTTCTTGAGATTGGCATAGAACTTCTCTCTTCGAAGTACATCCATAACAGCCCTAATATGCTCTAGGTGTTCATCATAAGATTTGCTATAAATTAGGATATCGTCAAAGTAAACTACCACAAATTTTCCTAAGAATGGACGCAGAACATGATTCCTTAACCTCATGAAGGTACTAGGTGCATTAGTTAGCCCAAAAGGCATCACTAACCACTCATACAAGCCATACTTAGTTTTGAAGGCAGTTTTCCATTCATCCCCCTCCTTAATCCTAATTTGATGGTACCCACTTTTGAGATCAATTTTGGTAAAGAACACAGCCCCATGTAACTCATCAAGCATGTCATCTAAGCGAGGTATAGGGTGGCGCTACTTTACCGTGATGGCATTTACGGCTCTGCAATCGGTACACATTCTCCACGTACCATCTTTCTTGGGCACCAGAATGACTGGAACAACACACGGGCTTAAACTCTCACGTGCCCATCCTTTGCCAAGCAACTCGTCCACTTTCCTTTGTAACTCCTTAGTCTCCTCCGGGTTGCTCTTGTAAGTTGGGCGATTTGGTAATGAAGCTCCAGGGATGAAGTCAATTTGATGCTCAATGCCCCTAAGTGGTGGCAATCCACTTGGCATGTCCTCGGGGAAGACATCAGCGTACTCCTGTAAAAGAGACTTACCTCGAGAGGTATATCAGTATCAAGTTCATGCACATTCAAGGCTACTTCCTTGCTAACAAGCATAAGAAGTGGCTGCTCATCTCCCATTAACTTCCTCACTTTCTTGGCTTTTATCAGGAGCATTTGTTTTCCCTCGATTTTTACCTCACTTGCCGAGTTATCTATAGCCTTTTTCCTTTCCTTTTTTGCCTCGGCTCTCTCATTTTCTTTTCTTTTTGCACTATACTTCTCAAACTCTTGTTGCAATTTCAATTGGTCCTCGTGCACTTATTTTGGAGAAAGGGGAGCTAGGGTGACTTTCTTACTATTGTACAAGAAGCTATACTTGTTAGTCACACCATCAAAAGTTACCTGCCTGTCAAACTGCCACGACCTACCTAGTATAATGTGACTAGCCTGCATAGGTACAACATCACATAATACTTCATCAGAGTATTTATGAATTTGGAAGGATATCAGAACCTGTTTGGTTACTCGAACCTCTCCAGAATTGTTGAGCCATTGGAGTTTGTAGGGGCGCGGGTGATCCCTCGTAGGCAGTTTCAAGTTGTCCACCATGAGTGAACTAGCTACATTTGTGCAGCTCCCACTATCAATAATCATACTACAAAGTGCTTGATTGACGAAGCACCTAGTGTAGAAGATGTTCTCCCGTTGAAGCTCATCCTCCTTAACACGTGCAGTTAATGCTCTTCGTGCAACCAAGGCGGTCCCAAAGTGACCCTCGGGTGCACTAAACTCCTCTTCATTTGGTGACTCACCATCACTACCTCCTTCAAGGGGTGGCATGCCTTCGTACTCGGCTTCGTCCTCGCTCACGATCTCGCCATTTTACATCATAACCATAGTCCTTTGATTGGGACATTGACTAGCAATATGGCCTCTACCTTGGCATTTGAAGCATCGAGTATCACGAGCTCTAGTTTGTGCCCTAGGCTCCTCAAATTTTGGAGTAGAAGTGGATGGTTTACTAACACTAGAATTGGCCCCCTTACCTCCCTCGAATCTCGGCTTGGGTGTAGGCGCATTTGACGAAGGCCGAGAATCATTTCGTGGTTGGAATGGCCGGTTGGTAGGGTAGGTGGTATTGCCGAAATTCGATCGAGTAGTACCCCTCCTCTTGAGCCTTTGCTCGACCTTAATGGTCTTGTCGACAAGCTCATGCAACTCCATGTAGTGTTGGAGCTCCACTCGTTCAGCAATATCGGGTCTTAACCCGTTCAAGAACCTGGCCATGGTGGCTTCGGGGTCCTCTTGTACGTCTGCTCTAAGCATCAGGATCTCCATCTCCTTGTGGTACTCATCCATACTCCGGTTGCCTTGGACTAAGGTTTGTAGTCGGTGGTACAAATCCCTAGTGTAATGTCCAGGAACAAAGCGGGTGCGCATCATGGCTCGAAGCTCGGGCCATGGAACGAGCTCAGGGAGCCCATTTCTTCTTCTAGACTTCTTGATTTGGTCCCACCAAACCACAGCGTATTCAGTGAATTCCATGATTGCCAATTGCACCTTTTGCACCTCGGTGTAATTTTGGCAAGAAAAGACCATTTCGATCTTGGATAACCATTCGAGAAAGGTCTCGGGATCGGACCGTCCTTTGAATTTAGGGATTTGCATCTTGATTCCCTTGAACACATCGGTAGGTCTAGGTTGGCTCCTTTGCCTTGGCCAAACGCGAGGTTCTCCGTCATCGTCATCATTGTTGGAACTATCGGATTCTTCCACGCCCTTTTGCCTTCGCGTGGACCTAGACGTCTTTGGTGTTCCAGACGCCCGGAGCTGCAGCAACTCTTCTTGAATGGGTTCTAGCATGCGTTGGAAGCGCCTCTCCATTTGCTCCATCATTTGTTCAAAGTCCATGGGATGAGATGCTCCTTCGTTGCCACTAGACATGAAGTCTCAAGTGTACCTGCAAGGGTTAGTAGCAAAAAAAAGGGGAAAGAAACGTTTGTCCCCCTTTCTCTTTTTTTCTTTTTTCACTTCACTCCCTAAGTGTATACTCTCACACTCGTGTATGGTCACTCAGTTCACTCTAATGAGCTCACCACAATTTCTCACAGCCCCTTGCACAACCTTGAAGAAATTAGAATTCCTCAAGTGCTCAAAGTTAGCTTAAAAATCAATTTCACGCTAAAATTTGAGGTTCGTAAGAGTGGAGATTTTCTTGGAAAACAAAATTAAGACACTAAGAATGGAGTGGTAGAATATATTCAAGAATAAAAATTGGGAAAAGACCTGACACAAAGCTACAAAAAAAAATTAAGAATGATGCTCAAGGCTCTAACCGACAAGGAAATTATTTCTTTTGCCTTGCTGGAGTTCTTGGTCAGCTTACCAACCAAGGTCACCAAATGCTTAGCAGTCAAATGAGAGAAAATGAAAGACTCACTAAATGACTCAAGACTTACCTGGACTCAATAAACGACTCAATGGACGACTCAATAAACGACTCAGAGCTGATCTTTACGAAGCCTAGACAAGACCCTTTTGACTCTTGCGTGCTGGCACCTCGTGTTACTAC